TGCTCTGTGTTGTTGACCAAATCTCTCTTGTAATAGTTTGATACTCTCTAGATAGTTATTTTCGGTTAAAGGAAATCCAGCGATTGACCTTGATGCTTCCCCAATTAACTGGGCTCTTAAATAGTTCAGTTTCTGTATGTTGCTTAGATACGGGTTATCGTGTACTGCTGTGCGGAAGGAATCCCAGAACGTTTGCCAATTCAAGGGGTTGCCGTCAAAGGTTGGTAGTGCTAACTTTGGGAGTCGACTCATGCTGTAACTACTGTTCGAAATGGTGGGGTTTGTACTTGTAACTGACGTACTTGTAGTGGGTGGCTGGTTTAAATTGACAGGTAAATTTTCACTTACTTTGCTTGATTGTGGTTGTGTCTCTTCTGGTGTTGCTGGTTGATTTCCTGCTGGTTCACTCTCACTGCTTGTTGCCTGGTTGCTTTCTGGCGTTTGTTGAATATTGTTACTCGCTCCTGCTGCTTGGTCGTGCTGACTTATGTTCATGGACTTGGTTTTGTTCTCAATAAAATTTTTAGTTGTACAAATTGTCTCTGCGATAAAACTCTGTGTGTCTTCTGCCTCGATAATATCTGCTTCCAAATCTTCAGGTTTTGTGAATAGTTCAAATATCTTATTGTCTAGTTCTGATAGTACCTGTCCTTTCCGTTGGAGTTGCTCTAAATAACTGCCAAGTGTCACAATAGCATGCTGTTCATTTTGATCGTCTTCTACTTCTTTTAGTTCCGTAATTTTCTTCAAAACGTTCGTTAAATGTGCTCTGTGTGCTCTTCGTGATGCTATTAGACGTTGTTGTTCTTCCATCCTGGTCACGGCACCATAATTTCAAGTATTTATTGGTATATTGTTACGATTAATACAGGTTCTTTCGATAATATAAAGCGTGGAATAACAACAACATGGCGTCCATGAAAAAGGGCGCGAAAACAGTCAATACTTCATGTTATCAATGTATAATGTTTGTCTACTTATTTACGACAAATATTTACAAATGTTTTCAATCAGTGACTGACTGTTAATTAATTTATTGATAATAAATTCTCGGAGAATAAATTCTCTACAATGATTCAATAAAACATGGAACTCAACTTTAGAAATTAAATTAGAATGTAGTTATATGGTATCAGGGATGATGGAAAGGGGGTGGGGCAAGGTCTCCTTTCCTAAAGGGGGCAAATGTAGCATTTTAATATAAATAAAACACAATACTTTTGTCCCAAATTTACTTTTAATAATAACAAATTAATTAACAAAGATAAAGAAGAGAATTTGTATATTTAATGAGCTATTTCCCAAAGTCGTGGGTCTAGTCGCACAAATCCCTTGTTGGAGGGACAAGAAATATGGCAGCACACGTTTAAATTAAAGTTTAATGTAAAAAGGAGATATTTCATTTGTGGTCATGTAAAAAGTTGATATTTGATAGTAGATACTTCTACTCTTTCACATATATGATGCCTGTCTCCATATATTTTGTCCCTACAAATGACCCCAGAATATGCACTGTGATCTCTTTTGAGAGAAGGCTAATTACAGTTAAAGTGAATATACTAACCCATATAGAATCTAAAACCAGGATGACATTTGACATCTTGTTAAAAGAATATTGAGGAAAAATATATCATTTTGGAAAAAATATGCAAAAATTGCAAAAGATGTTATATTTAAATTTTAACAAATTTATTTTCATTCTTCGAGAAAATAAGTAAGAAATAATTTATTATTAACCATTATTTCTTATGTTAAGAATTTGATTTCTTGTTTTAAAAATTTTCTTAAGAAAATGATTTGATATACAGTAAAGATGACGAAATCGTAAGAAAACATTCATATTTCAAGAAAACAAATGTAATTTAAGATATGTTAAGAGAATTTTTCCTATTTCAAAAAATGTCTTGCAAATCAAATACTTCTCATTTTAAGAATCGTTTTTCTAATTAAGAAAATTAGTTTCTCATTTCAACAAATATTTTCTTGAAGTAAGAATTGTTTTCTCAATAAGAAATTGTTTTTTGCTGTGTAGTTGAGATACTGTATATTGACCGATAATTGACATATCTGCAAATATCTGCAACTTTTATGCAGATATTTTGCAGATATGTTGACAGATAATCAACATATCTGCAAAATATCTGCAACTTTTATGCAGATATTTTGCAGATATTGTAGACCTTGTTGCAGTTATGCTGCAGTACTACAACAGATATGTGACAGATACTTGCAGACATTTTAAATATATGTCAGTTATAGTCATATAAGTGTGTTATCATATTTTTATGTAGTCCTGTAAGTGTGTTATCATATTATTAGGTAGTCCTGTAAGTGTGTTATCATATTATTATGTAGTCCTGTAAGTGTGTTATCATATTATTAGGTAGTCCTGTAAGTGTGTTATCATATTATTATGTAGTCATGTAAGTGTGTTATCATATTATTATGTAGTCCTGTACAAGTGTGTTATTATATTATTAGGTAGTCATGTATGTGTGTTACCATATTATTTTGTAGTCCTGTAAGTGTGTTATCATATTATTATGTAGTCCTCTATAAGTGTGTTATCATATTAATTATATTATGTTATTATGTAGTCACATAAGTGTGTTATTATGTAGTCATGTTAGTCTGTTATCATGTTATTATGTAGTCATGTAAGTGTGTTATCATATTAGGTAGTCATGTATAGTAAGTGTGTTATCATGCTATTATGTTGTCATGTAAGGATGTTATTATGTACTATTTAAAACATGAGCGGGAGTGTTTTATTACACTGGCCTGTAGGCCAAGTGTCTTAAATCCCTCTTTTTCTGTTTTTCCGTACTCGAGAAATGGAGTTTGCGTTAGCTCATCGCAGGCTCACCTCGGTGTATAGTAATAAGCTCGTATTTATGTACGTAATAGTCGACTCATGCTTGTGGTACATTTTTCGTTTATTAGCCCATACACTTGTACGCACGCGCACTATTCCAAACTCCAATGGCGACTTTTCACAGAGTGATCAAACTATATTTTACACAGTTTAATTCGTTGAATTTTCAAAGAATTGTTCCGGTTTCCTGTGGACATCCGTTGTGTACTTGTGTTAATTTTTGCGTCGCACTCTGGACTTTCTTGCCTGTTGAATTAATGTTTTTCTTTTTGTATTAAATTAAACGACTCGAAAACCCCAAAATTTCATAAATTTATACCCAGGGAATTTATACAATATATTGGAATATAAACAAGGACAAACTCTCCAAATTCCTTACGATAGTGTTAGTCAAATGTCGACAATATACCTTTAATTACATGTATTAAAATCCGCGCAGTACTAAGAATTAAGAGAATTCGCGTAGCGCTGGCCCGTTAGGTGCGTACTATAATCTATTTGTGATAGCTATACTAAAGATAAAGCGTGCCTTCAAAATACCAACAAGAACTAGAACCATTATTGTATGGTTCTCATTTGCTAGACTTGCCACAAGTCAACCTCGAAGAAACGCATTTCGTTCGAGGTCGACTTGTGGCAAGTCTACTCATTTGCCTAATACAATAACATTTTAAATAGTTCGATGCGAATTTTAATACAAGTATGGTATCATATTTCATAATATAACAAACAATGTAAACTTAACTTGCCATATATTTTGCCGAACATAACTTCGGCCCCTTTGGACATATCGTTTTCGTAATAATATTATTGGGACCAGAATCGAAAACACTATTTATAGTGTTATTTTCAAGCTTGTGTCTTGGGATTTTCATCTTTTATTTCGGTATTTACAGAATATTTATATTTTTAGCGCGGCAATCAAAACAACGCGCTGTTTAGGAAAAACCGGAAATCGATTCTGTAGATCGGCATGATTTGCCGACGTGCATCAATCGAGCTATAAACGTGCGTGAGTAAAAACCCGATATTTTGAAAAGTTCAAAATAAATATTCCTACCCTGTGCCGTATTCAAATGAAACTTTGTACATGAAAGCACTTGAATACAAGATGTATTTTACTCACATTGACTCTGAGCAAATTCTGAAAAGTTACTAAAGAATACTAAAGCAGGGTGCATTGCCTGTTAAATGGGTTAATAAGAGAACAATGTCAGATGTGTTTGTTAACCCATTTACTGACAGTACTCTGCCACTAACAAGTAAAATCATCTAGCGTTACAGTGTAAATTGGTCTGGCGTTAGCCAGAGTTAATACTAAATTGCATTGTCAGCTAATAGGTTAATAGACCTTAATGTCCACTTTTGACCCAATGGCTTCATTTTCATGTTGGCTATTTACTCGTATTCCGTGCACACAATTTAAGAATGAGTTTGTGAACAGGCTTAAATGATAAACGAGAAGGAAACATTGGGGATAATATAACCGAGAATTGTCTAGAAGTATAAATTTTTGCATTCAGTTCAAACGCCATAAAGGCAGCACTTTCCTTGCGATAGTAACTCCTAGTAATGATTTTGCACCATTAAGACTGAAAAGGTCTTTTATTTTTTTAAAAAGTCCATAAAATGCATTGCGGTTTAAGATTTGTATTCCTGCCTTTTGCACCATAGCACGTATCTCGTTATTTTCAGGCCAGTGTGAACGCCTGGGCAGGCGTCTTGTCTTATTTAAAATTGGAGTGCGCAGCACGAGCATTTTAAATATGATAAAACATGACTGAGTGTTTCAAATGGCTTCACACACAAATACAATTGATGCCTTCTTATTAGTATTCTTTATATATAAATACTAATTGGGATGATCATTATATCAAGAATACCAATAAGGATGAGTATTAGGATCAGATATTTTTATATAGTCATGTAAGCATGTTACTGTATTTGATTATAATTATTGTGTAACAATGTAACTGTATGTACTCTGCCATATTGTACTTGTTCAAATTGACATGCCTTGATTAAGTGCCTCTTTTGAGCATAAAATTCAGCAAATATGGTATGTTATTATAATGTAATTGTGTGTGTACAGCATGCTCTCATGTAATAAATCTGTTCTCATAAATGATCATGTATTTTAATAGTATTTCTTAATAGTATTTCTTTTAATTAGTAATTCTTTTAATTAGTAATTACTATAGTTGAAGGTAATTTACACTGTCTGCAATACGAATTTGCTGTACTTGTATGTTCTTGATAAATCTTACATAACGATTATTGTTTTTTAGGTGTGTGGTATGGAAGGTTTGCAGGTTTTACCAGTTGCTGAAAATAATGATGCAAGTGTTGATGATCCAGTGGTTGTTACCGAGCAACCTGCAAAAAAAAGATGTAAAGCCAAAGGGAAAAATAAGAGCAAAACATATTTGCCCAGTATCTAATTGCAAATCTTCAGTTATCCATCTCCCACGTCACATGAGGAAGTGTCATGGTTGGAATCCAAGGAAGTCAGGTGGCGTGTTGAACGCTTTTAATTTACGGAAAAATAAAATGCAAACAACGGCAAGGCCTAAACGTTTTTACAAGAGCAAGATGTGCCCGGTGAGAGATTGTAATTCCATTGTCAAACGGATCCATAACCATATCAGAAAGGTGCATAAAGTAAAACCAGGAAGCAAAACGTACCTGAAATGTTTAGAGAATGCAGTTCCATATGAGGCTCCAGTTTTATCACTGTCTAAACCCACTGAAGATGGCGATGACTCATCAGACTCGTACCACCCACCACCAAAAAAGATTAAAGAGGAAAATTATGTGAAGAATCTTGGCACTATATTTCAGTCTGTGTATGGCAGTGATGATAGTGATGAAAGTTATGATTGCAACCGAGATGATGCATCTCCTTCCAAAGATGAAGATGATCGAGAAGATATTGAGGAGGACGTGATCGATGGAGATTTAATTGAAAATGATCAACAATATATTCAGGGTGCTGATCATTTAGATAATAATCTTCCACAGTTATTTGTGCAATTCGAAGAATGGTTGAAAGGGCCAGATGGAGGTAGAAAAGATGAAAGATGCGCAAGCCAGTGCCACAGACAAGTCCAGCTAGTCATCAATTTCATTGACCCAAAAAATCCAAATTTGAGCAGCATATTCAGAAAGAAGATTTTGAGGGATAAATGGCTAAACATTTTTGATAAGGAAAAGCAACCTGGAACTGTGAAATCCTATCTTGGTGCTCTTAACCTGTTCTATGTTTTTTTAAAGTGTGAGAGTGTCGAAGTTGATGTTTTACCGGCAACTTTATCCAGCTTATCAGATCAAGCTAAATTATGGGCCAGGTCATACAGGAAGCTTAGTCAAGATCGGTTTTGGGAGAAGAGGATGGATGACATGGTGACAATGAGAACACCCCAACAAGTGAAAGAGTTTGAGACATCAATTGTTGCAGGATCAGCAATAAAAATCATGGGTGAATATGATGATTACGAAGGAGAATTACCACCAAACCAACCAGATTACATTGTTGTCAGAGACTATCTTTTGACAGTCTTATGCATCAATAATGGTAGCAGGTCTGGCACATTGGCCAACATGACTCTGGACGAGTTCAAAAATGTTGATGAAGATGATGGTTGTTTTGTGGCCAAAGTCAAAAACCATAAAACATTTACCACCCATGGCCCTGTACATCTTGTGTTTTCTCACACATTGTACAAGTATGTACAAATCTACATCAGACAGTTTAGAAATAAACTTGGTGGTGTTGATAAGGATGGGAAGGCACCTGTGTTCTTGGCCTGGAGCAAATCAAAAATGAAATCATCTCAAGTTGGTACCCAAATAGGTTCTTGTTGGGGGAAAGTCTTTGGGAAAGAATCGTCTTCTGGGGGTGCCACTGCATTCAGGAAAGCAGCAGTCTCAGCTGTGCATGGGACTAATAAGGATTTGCGAGAAGATTTAGCAAACTTAATGGTACACAATAAAGCCACAGCCGACCGTTACTATTTGCTAAAAAATAAAGGCAAAACAGCTGTACAAACGGCAAAAGAATTGACTAAAATAATGCGAACCACATCTAGTAGCCAAAAGGAGGGGGACCATCACGTCTCTGTGGGAACCATCAAGTCTCTGAATCATCAAGTCTCCCAACAACACACAAATCACCACCCAGACACAAGTGGACCACTGAGGAAGTCAGCATGTTGAAGAGTCTGTTTGCTTCAGATATCAAACAGAAGACAATTACGTTAGACAAAGTTAGACAAAAAATTGTCAAGCAACCACTGCTGTTCAACATTTCCCCGACAAAGATAAGAGACAAAATTCGATCCTATTATGATACTACAACATTGGAAGAACCCAAGTGTAATTCGCCAATACTTCCTAACGAGACTGAATCTCAAAGCGAATGTTTCAGAAGATTTGGCGTGAACTTAATTGAAGCAGAAACTAGTAAGTATTGGTAAATTGATAAACACTTATTTAGTAAAAGTAATTAGTATAGGTAATCACACAGGAATGAGTGCAATTAATGATTAACACAGCAAGTGATTTTTGGTAACACTGCGAGTGGTAATCATTAATTGCATGACTTGCCCATGTGATTATTTGTTATATACATGACAAAATTACTGCAATCTGATAATGGATAATTTTTTCATTTTAACATCATGGTTTGGGCAGAAAGCCCATTGCACTCCTCATCAGATTGCAGTAACTTTGTCATGTATATCAAGGCATTTTTTAATACCATGGAGTGGTGGGGCATTTGCCCCACTGGGCCCCTTCCTCTGCCCCACCACTGAAGAAAAAAATGGCCTATTGCCCCAAAGCCAGGGCCCTATGACTTGTATCGAGTAAATGAGTTTAACATAGAAAAGAAGTTTAAAAAACAAAATTTGTTGGTGAGTATACATACTTAAACTTAATATGTTGTGTTTGAATGTTTAGCATGCAATTTATTACAAATTTCACCATTAAAACTTTGTTTTGAGACACTGAGGTTTTTTTAAAAATGTGTTCTCAGAATGCAGGAAATGCTATTTCAGAGACCCAAGTTTTAAAAATTTCCTTTGGGACATGCCCCCAGACCCCCTAGCTAACTCAAGCCTGCGGTACTCGCGGCTCACACCTTCGGCGATCGCATAGTGTGTTTTAATCTATTACTTGTTTACTTAAATACACAATGATTAATTTACATAACTATAGCCTATAGAATATTACAGAATAATTTGAATATACTACAACCCCCTTTCAAAAAAAAAAAACTAACATTTTTTTTTCCTTTTTTCTTATTTGAATGTACTATAAATGTAATAAGTTCCCTAAATATAGTGTTCTTAATTGTCATAGTGTTCCTACATAGTGTTCCATATTTTCCTACATTGTTTTAAAATGTCTCTATTAATACCTATTTGGTTGTTTAACCAATCATCCCGAACGTGTACGATAACCCTCTGCAACATCATTGCTCGCTTGCTGATGTTCTGGGCTTCTTGACTGCCGTTCATGTTCCGTAATTTTGGGTTGCTTCGACTGTACGTTCGTTCCCGAATCTGTGTGTAGAATAGACTGATCATGCGACGCGTCTCTATGTAAATGTCTTCTATTGCGGCGATATACAGCCCCTTCTGGAGTCTCGACTAAGTAACTTCGAGGCGTATCTGCTATTTCGATCACTTTTCCGGGTCTCCATTCACATTCCTGCTTGACACATACTGCTTCACCAGTCTTTAATGGTTGTAAAGGCATGGCCGACTTGTCATAATTGGATTTCTGCTCAGCCTGCTTTTTCTGGAACATGCTTTGTGTTTCGCGATAACAAACTGTTTCAGGAATTAAGTGATTCGTTGTGCATGGTAGAAGTGAACGCAGACGTCTTCCCATGGATAGTTGTGCAGGTGATTTGTAGGTAGCCACGGGTGTATTGCGTTGTTCTAACAAAGCGAGGTATGGATCTCTTCGATCACGTTTGGCTTTCTCTAACATTCTTTTGGCGGTTTGCACGGTCTTTTCTGCGAGCCCGTTGGACTGTGGATGCTTCGGACTTGATGTCACGTGGGAGAATTTCCAATTCGCTGCAAACGTATCGAACTCAGCCGAACTGTATTGTGGACCATTGTCCGATTTCACTGTCTCCGGTATTCCGTGTCTCGCAAAGATTTCTCTTAACTTGTTAATAACTGCTGTACTCGTTGTGCTGTGTAGTACTGCAATCTCCCAATAACGACTGTAGTAATCAACAACTAGAACATAACTGCTACCATTCCACTCAAACAAATCGCTAGCAACGATTTGCCAAGGATACTGAGGGATTTTGTGGGGAATCATCGGCTCTTTGGGATTGCTTAGCCTGAGCTGTTGGCACGTCGTACAGTTGGACACGACATCTTCGATCTGCTTAGACATACCGGGCCAGAATACCAATTCCCGAGCTCGGAGCTTACTTCTTTCCATTCCAAGATGTCCTTCGTGAATCTGTGCCAAAATACTTTTCCGCAATGTTCGTGGAACAACGATAGATTCGTCCTTGAAAATCAGACCATCAACCGCTATCAATTCGTCTCTATATGCCCAAAACTCGCTGACGTCTTTTGACACTCCATTTTTGTGGTTGGGCCAACCTTCTTGAATTATTCTTGTCAATTTGACCGTAATGCTGTCATTAGCTGTTTCCTGATGCAACTCTGCCAATTTCTTGTCACTCACTGGTAGGTTTGCTATCGCCGTGTGCACACATAGAACAAGATCTTCGTCGTCAGAAGTAGGAAGGTGAGCCCTTGAGAGTGTATCTGCAGAATAGAGCTCTTTCCCAGGTTTATAACGTAGGTCGATGTCATAGCGCTGTAACCGTAAGAGCATGCGCTGCAACCTTACTGGCGCCTTGTTGAGTGGTTTAGAGATGATTGAAATGAGTGGCCTGTGATCCGTCTCGACCAACACTTTCTTGGCATAGATGTACTGATGAAACCGCTCGCAACCAAACATAACTGCCAATAATTCTTTCTCGATTTGAGCGTACTTCGACTCAGTCTCTGTTAGCGAACGAGAAGCATAGGCTATTGGTGAACCGTTTTGCATCAATACTGCACCCAACCCAGACTTGCACGCATCTACTTGCAGCTTTACTGGCAACTTTGTATCGTAATACTTCAATACTCCGGGACTCGTCTCTGTTAAAAGACGCTTGATACCTTGAAATGATTGTTCATGACGCTCAGTCCAGTGCCACGCAACATCTTTCTTGAGGAGTTCGCGTAGAGGTGCCGTTACTTCCGAGACATGTGGTGCGAACTTCGCCACATAGTTCACCATTCCGAGCAAACGTTGAATTCCATGCTTGTCTTCCGGAACTGGCATCTCTGTGATCGCTTTTAACTTAGATGCGTCTGGCTTGACTCCATCTCCGGTAAGTACATGCCCAATGTACAAAACTTTGGTGCGTCTGATCTGGCACTTGTCAGGATTTAGCTTAAGATTGCTTTGTCTTGCTCTCTGCAAAACTTTCTCCAACCTTTCGTCGTGCTCTTCTATCGTAGTGCCCCAGACCAGGATGTCATCGATGTCAGTCTCAACACCGTCAAGATCTTGGAAAAGCTCACCTATCCTCTTGTGGAATACTTCCTGGGCGCTATGAATGCCGAAAGGCATACGTGTATAACAATATCTTCCGAAAGGTGTTCCGAAAGTTGTAAGATATGAACTCTCTTCGTCCAAAGGAATTTGCCAAAATCCCGATCTTGCGTCAAGAGTAGAGAAATACTTCGCTACACTCAGTCTTGTAGTAATCTCTTCTATCGTAGGTAGATGGTAATGTTCTCGCTTGATTGCTTTATTAAGGGGCCGCGGGTCTATACAAATTCGCAATTTGTCAGTATTTTTCTTTTCCACGACGACCATCGCATTTACCTAGTCGGTCGGTTGATCCACTGCCACGATTATACCCTGGTTGCACATTTCATCTAGCGCGTACTTGACTCGATCCTCCAAACCAAACGGAATTCGTCTTGGGGGAACTATATCTGGTTGCACTGCAGAATTCAGCTTGATGTGATAAGGCCGCTCTAAACATCCGATTCCCGAGAAAACATCCTGATATTCTGTTTTGACTCTCTTCGCAAACGCTTCGGTTCCTTCTTCTTTATGCTCTATGACGGTGACAAATTCTATAAGACCAAGTTTCTTGCATGCGGAAATACTGAGAACTGGTTCACTCTCGATGCTCGTGATATAGAATTCCAAATTATGAATTGTCCCTTTGTATTGACATTGTAACGTGCAGACAGCTTCGACCGGGATATTTCCTCCATTATAGGCACTCAAACAGGCTTTCGGCTTTCTAAGCTTTATCTTTGAAGTTGTCGCAACTTGCTTGAAAATTGAGTATGGTATCACGTTTACCTCAGCTCCTGTATCCAGCTTTAATCGAATGTCGTGATTGTTCAATGACAGTGTTACATGTTCAGTTTCAGACTGTCAAATCCGATCGACAGATTCAACTTTGACCGTCTCTAGAAACAGATATTCGTCACTTTTCTCTTGTCGACACAAGTCTACGCTTTTGCTTGAACGGCACATTCTTGCATAATGGTTCATCTTTTTGCATTTATTACATTGTTTACCATAAGCTAAACATTGTCCCTTTGAATGAATTAGACCACAATTACCACAGGCATTACGCTTGTGTTCATGTTTCCCTTCAGTAGCTTTCTTTGCTTCTTGTGTTTTGTCTGACTTGCTTTTGTTCTGAACACGGTTCACTCCCCCGCGTTTTACTTGATTTACATGGTTCGCTTCACTGCCAAACAACTTCATTTGTTGTCTTGATAACTCATCTGCTCTGCAAATCTCGACAGCTTTGTTCAATTTCAACTCTGATTCTCTCAAAAGTCGTTCTCGAACAACTCTCGAAGATATGCCGCTTACAATTCGACTACATATAAGATCGTCTTTTAAGTCTCCCCACTCGCACGACGCCGCTAAAGTTTTTAGTTCTGTTACATACTGATCTACCGACTCGCCGGTGTTTTGATCTCTTGTGAGGAAACGATGCCGTTCAACAACGAGATTCTTCTTGGGTTTACAATGCGCTTCGAATTTGTCGAAAAGGATTGCTGTGGTGATCACGTGTTGTCCATTTTTACGAGTTTCAAATTCGAACGTGTCTTTAATTTCTTGCCCGTCTTTACCAATCATACACATGAAAATTGCGACTTTCTGTGGCTCGGTTTTTCCGGTGCATGTCGCTATCAAGTAATACTCCATGCTATGTCTCCAGCGTCTCCATGTCTCTGCTAGATTTTGTGGGCTGGTGAAATCCATTTCACCGGGTCCTCTTATTTCATTCATTTTGAACGTTATAAAGTCTACCTGACACCATGTAATATATCGAGATAAAAGTGTGTTTTAATCTATTACTCGTTTACTTAAATACACAATGATTAATTTACATAACTATAGCCTATAGAATATTACAGAATAATTTGAATATACTACAGGGGAAGGACAAGGAAAATGGACCCTTTGACAGTTTTGCCCCACCACTGAAGAATCCTTAAAAGATGCACTGATGTATATAATAAATACATGATATATTTTGAAGCATTTTGGCATAAAAAAGCAAGACAATTTTACTACTCTTGGTTATTTTGACTCACCCCGAAAAGCAGTTGTTAACACCCAACTGGACTTTACATATTTTACTCTAGGAAACACCAGATGACTTTTACTCATCAACAGGAAAACTCATTGCTTGGTTTATGTTACAGAGTTTTACATACTCCAACAGGGCTTTACAGATTTTACTCTGGTTATGCCAGACAATTTTAGTGCTCATAAAAAGTTACTCAAACATTGATTAATATTATATTATATAACCCAATAAACTTAGTATTCCCTATGTATTAATATACAGCATGAGCGGCCATGTTGTATCGATATACAAATCGAACCAAAGGCAAGAGGTTGTGTGCCCTCTGTCATCCTGGACTGTTTATTTATGAATACTCCTGATATCTGGAATATTTTATCCTGGGAATGTTTTGATTACTTATTATTAAATGGTGTAATTAAGTACATATACACATGTATGTACATACCAGTGTATAGAAACTGTAGACTGTACAGTAGGTCAGTAATTCCCCTTAAGCTGTGTAATTGTGCATAAACTGTATAGTAGTCAGTAGCGTAGCTAGGAAAAAATTGTTGGTTATGCTATTTGCTGAGTTCCAAGCTCACGAGGCGCTACCATGGTTGGCGCCGAGCGAGTAAAATTTTTAAAATTAGGGCCTCTAGATCGTCGGAAACGGCCTTTTCAGAGATCTATTTGTTCATATTCATACAAAACATTTGGGCAATTTAGCGTCACTCAAACTTAATTTCTTGCGTTCTGTGTGGTGAAACGTATGGAAATTCATTTTATAAACTCCATACAAAAAGCAAAACAGCTTCAGGAAAACACAACAAAAACATTTTATTTCATCATGAACAGCATTACTAATTACATTACAAATAACTCAGACGAGTTATTACTGGCTGAGATTGGGTGCAAACTGCAAACAATAATCAAAAAGTTATGATGCTGCACTAGAATGACACTCATTATTTCCAACAAAAAAGAAGTACATAAAACATACAATAAGCCATAGACTAATATGTAAATGAGAGACAAACTTTCTGTACCGGTGAGGTGAAGACTGGTGCAATTTTCTGTGCAAGTCTAATTAATATAGAAATAGTAAAAGAATAACATGGAAATTATGTGTCACCACATGTCATCATTCATCATGAGCCACCACATTTGAGTGGATATTTGCCATATAACTCTGGTCATCTAATAAAAAAATAAAACTTATAGTAAAAGAAATATATGAAATTATATTTTGGAGTTGCCACATTCAAGTGTTATCTCCCCAGGAAGAGTTGTATCATGGGCTCACTGCATTGAGTGGATATTTCCCTTATAACTCTGGTCATGTAAATGAAGTTATATTTTGGGGTCACCACATTCAAGTCAAGTGGTTATCTGTCTTATCTCTCGAGGAAGAGTTATATCATGGACTCACCACATTTGAGTGGATATTTCCCTTATAACTCTGGTCATTTTATTAAAAAAATTAATAGACCTCATAGCAAAAGCAAGATATGAAATTATATTTTGGGGTCACCACATTTAAGTTAAGTGATTATCTCCCCAGGAATAGTTACTGTATATCATGAGTCACCACATTTGAGTGGATATTTTCCCTATTGCCTGTATTCTAGCTAAGAGCTCACTCACACTCAATGAGTGGAGGTTCGATCTGAGCTTCTCTTGAGTGCCATTGCTGTTTTGGCAAAGCTGAGGAGTTAGTGTCGAACCTTACTATGTGACTACTCACCCTCCACCTATTCAAAAACAATTGACACTCAAGGTAAGCTCAGATTAAACCTCCACTCATTGAGTGTGAGTGAGCTTTTACAATACAGGCGTATAGCTCTGGTATTGGTAATTATGGTAAAAGAAATATTAAATTTTATTTTCAGGTCACCACTTTCATGTAGATATTTCCCCTATAAATCTAATATTCCCTGATATAATTTCAAGGGACTATAATAATGTACCTATCAATGTTAAGCCCCTGAGGGGCGTCGGGCATATGTGGGGTGTTTTATAATCAATTGTATCCCCAGCCTGGGGATTTTGATTAGCATTTTGGGCCTGAGTTGAGGCCCATCAAGGGTGTAACCCAGGTTGCTTGTCACTCATTTTGTAGCTGCTTTGTTGCTTGTTTTATTGCAATAAATGTCCCTGTCACTTTTAACCCATAACACAAATCACAATTTCTCGTTTAAAATTCCCAGTCAGAAGCTGCCGTTTGTCACTCTTTTGTACATAGTCTGTCGCCTCTTTTTAAGGAATGTCACCTGTCGGTCATAACCCCTTGGTGGGCCTCTGAGTTAGGGCAATGTGAACCAAATGACTTTTATTAATATAGTATTTATTGCAATTTATTGCAAAATGGTGAAGTATTTGACCAATATTTTTATTGCCCGACGGTGGGGCATTTGATTGAAAATTTGCTCAAAAAATCAAATGCCCCAGTACCCCACATATGCCCAACCCCCCACCTCTGGGGCTTAACATTGATAGGTGCATAATAACATGGCCAGCAAAACATTGCCTTCTTGGTTAAACATTAAGTAAAACTACCACAAAGCCAATCTTTCTTTGTGTATCAACTCTCCTGAGAGCTTCTATCTCCAGTGGTCGATTGTAAATTCGGCATTGGCCTTTGTGTTACAATTATATTTTGCTCGCCTGATTGACGTGCAGAGAATTTAAGGTTTCTTCAGCATATCACTTATAATATCTGCCTCTGTGGAAGCCGTCACACTTCCTGAAGCCATTAAAATGCAAATTAATACAATGCGAATTCACTTACCTTGATCAGTTGACACCTGAATGGAGTATTCGACTAATTCGAGCGTGAATTATCTCGAACAGAAAGACTGTAACAAAGGACAAAGGCTCAAGTCATGCTCTGGAAAATGAGCATGACTAGATGTTGCGAAACAGCGCGTTTGAGCATGCACAGTTGCCATTATCCAATCAGATTGCCAGTATTTCTACTATAAAATATATTACTTGGTCATGCTGATTTCAGAGGGCATCACTAGACCGCGAAATGCGTGGAACATGCTGTACACACGAAATTCACACGAACTTGCCATGTTTGTTGCTAGGTAACCTATGCAAATGAGCAATATTTTGCCGAAAATGACATAATATAGCGAAATCTTGTCTAAAGTACTTGTGAAAGTTTCGAAAAGCTAAAAGATTTTAATTAGAATTTTAGCGGAAAGAAATTCTTTACTTTTGGGGAAATTTTTGGTCATGCTCAGCATGACCGCTAGCTACGCCACTGATAGTAGTAATGATTTCTGCATTTTTTTAGGTACTACAGTCAAAAGAAGTGGTGGAGAAAAAGAGAAGCAGAAAGAAAATGGATGTGGTAGTGAGGACGAAGATGGTAGTGAGATTAAAGATGGCAGTGAGTATACGCCTAGTATTATCGCACCCACCACATCGACAAAAAGTTCCCAGCAGCTTTTAAGCAATGAGGACAGCGTCCTATTCCTAACTGTGTTTGATGAATTAATTAACTCAAGCAGGCAAATCACCAAGGCAGTTGTATATGATAAATTACGTGCTCAACCAAAATTATCCCATCTTGAAAAGCAGTGAGCTTTCCATCAACTAGCAGACAAAGTCCGCACAGAGAGAAGAAGAGGAAGAATTATAGCAAGAGGAAGAATTATAGCAAGAGGAAATGATAAAAGAAAGAGAGCTAGAAAATAGCTTTAAACAGTTTATTATACTGCAACTTGTATGTACAGTATGATTTTCTTACACTGTAATACATGATTTACAATACAGCTTATAGTTTGTTCTTACAAGATACACGGTTATACAGCTGATAGCTTCATTTTACAACATAATACAGCTTAAAGCTTCATTTCACAAGAGACTAGATGGATGCAGCTTGATTTTGAAAGACAGTGCAACAGATAGCTTGATGTTTCAAAATAACACAGCAGATGGGTAGATTAATAGAGCCAGATACAGTGCTTGATTTGTAACAGCTGTCCACTTTGTTATCTAATCAAGCTATCTGCTGCATTATGTTGTAAAATCAACCGCTGTATTATTGTAACATCAAGTATGTAAATTTGTAAGTGTTAAAATTATCTTGTTTTATTGCACATTTTGTTAATGCTCAGCCTGGGTCAGGAACGTACATGTACTTACAATGTAACATTATTTTTGACCTGGCACTTCTGGGATTATAAACACTGAAACATACCATTAATATATTGTATGTACATTGGTGCAATGTATTTTGCACTGGGCAGGCAACATAATATCAAAGATAAATGTAAAAGGTGCTGCCAGTAATTTAAATACTATTATAAAATTAATATACTTACTAGTATGTACAAATGCAGGTTATAACTAGAAGTTATCAACTAAAAATTTCCATGTACAATACTGTACATGAAACAAGGAGATTTTTAGGTGATAACTTCTTGTTATACACCTGCATATGTACATCAGATACTGTACGAATAGTATTGGACACTTTTAATATCTGCATGTTTAGTAGACTTTACTTAAGCTTCAATATCAAAGTAGTTTAATAATAGTATTGGACACTTTTAAATACTTTTTTCTCAATATCAAAGTAGTTTACAGTTGTTTTGTTAAATTTTATTACAAGACCTTAATATAATATATGTGGATGCCTTTTTCATTCTGTGTATTTGTTTATAATATTTTTCTAAAAATGTGAATGTATGTATGAAGTTTAGCTCCTGCCCTCTGTATACCAATGTAAGGTTATGTGGTTGTACTCGAGTTTGATTTTACTGCACCGATACGTGTATACAGATGTCAGGAGCTAAACTCCTCATTTTGTTCATGTATTCATGTAATATAATCAGGCATATATTATAGAGGGTATTACATGACAGCATGAAGATATGAATTTTATATCAAGAGATATGAGTGAGACAAATGAGTAAAATATTGTTGTCACCACGAGAAGATAAAATTCATATCTTTAAGCCACCGTTTGCATGTAATGTTCTTTGTATTATATGGAAATAACATGATAAACCTTCAAATTGTGGATGGTCATATGATTGATATCTTCACTCGTGAAGATATGGAAATATCTTACTGTCTACCATATAACAAATGATAACACACGTTATAACATAATTACATAACATACATACATGATTATTTAATTTACTTATTTTAAAGTAAAAAGTATATTGCCGTACATACGATCGCGTACATGATCGATTCTCCTGAGTTTGAGAAATGTAGGTAATTTCAGTTAGAAATGCTCCGAAACTTTACTTTGTTCACAACGTTGACACATTTTATCGTAAAAACAATAAAACTTCTATTATTTCGTTGATAACCCTTGCTAAAATGAAGATTTATCCCAGGTTGCTCCTTTTTGTAACCTAGGTGCTCCTTTTTGTAACTCCAAATGTTACAAAAAGGAGCACCTTGCTCCTTTTTGTAACATTTCTTGCTCCTTTTTGTAACATTTGTGGGTTACACAAAGGAGCAATTCAGGTTACAAAAAGGAGCAAATGTTACAAAAAGGAGCAAGGTGCTCCTTTTTGTAACATTTGGGGTTACAAAAAGGAGCAAATGTTACAAAAAGGAGCAAGGTGCTCCTTTTTGTAACATTTGGGGTTACAAAAAGGAGCATACTAGGTTACAAAAAGGATCATTGATATGACTTGCTCATGAGCGAAGAACTAAAAAAGCTATCATGATGTACAAAGTGCTTAACAACTTGGCTCCTTGAGTATTTAAAAGATTTGTTTCGCGAAACCAATCAAGTACATGATCATGATTTGTGAACCAAAGAGCAATCTTCTGAAAAAGAGTTTTTCATACAGCGGAGCTGTAATCTGGAATTCTCTTCCAAGACATGTTTGCTTGGCTAATTCGCTAAAACTTAGTGTGTAATTCTCCAATAGCGTATAGCCTATACAGTATGATATTATATTATAGTTTTGTATGTAGGTAGGTAGGTAGGTAGGTAGGTAGGTAGGTAGGTAGGTAGGTAGGTAGGTAGGTAGGTAGGTAGTGCACACCACCTAAGTTCAACAAGTAATTCACTAGATGAAGCGTCATACATGCTCTTTGTGATGATTCTGGCTGCCCTGTTTTGCAATTTTTGGGATAGGCCATCAGACAGTGTGTCCCAAACTTTGCTACAATAGTTTAGTCGTTGTTCAACTAAGCTATTGTAAATTAGTAACAGATTTTGTCTGGACATGAAAGAGCTAACACGACATATCATTTTTAAAGCTTGAGTAATTTTTTCGATTAATTCATTGACGTGTTCGTTCCAACGAAGATGCTCATCGTAGATTAATCCTAATATTTTTTATTTTGAAACTCGCTTGAGAATGTTATGATTGAGTATTAGGACTGGTTCATGGTCCAAATTACTTAGTCTGTGGTCAGTTCCGATTAACATGTATTCGGTTTTAGTGATGTTGACTTGTAATCTGTTAGCACGAAGCCATACTTCAATTTCAGCTAGATCTTTATTTAGCTTAATTTCAAGTTCAGATATATTCTGCGATGCAGTATACACTTGAGTATCATCAGCATAAAGGTCAGCTTTGGAATTAACAAGGCAGTTTGGAAAATCATTGATAAATGTTAGAAATAGCAATGGAGCCAAAATTGATCCTTGTGGAACACCGCATTTAATAATAGCTTCATTTGACAATTTCATATTTACAAAAGATTTTTGGTGCCTATTGCTAAGATAGCGTTTGAACCAGTGCAGAGTTACCCCTTTAAGGCCATACAGGTCAAGCTTTTGTAATAATATTTCATGATTTACTGAGTCGAAAGCTTTTTTTAGGTCAATAAATATGACTCCAGTAATCAATCTGTTATCAGCATTGGTGTAAAATTCATTGGTTGCATGTAAAAGACTAGTAACGGTAGAATGTTTTGTTCGAAATCCTGACTGATTTTTCGACAGAATATTGTGTTTGGTAAGATAGTTGTATAATTGATTATACACGATTCTTTCCAATATTTTTGCCACAATCTGTAAAATTGAAATCGGGCGGTAGTGTTCAGCATTGTTTCTTTTATTTCCTTTCTTATTTTTAAATAATGGAAAAACTTTCGCTAAGTTCCATTCACTTGGAAAATACCAGTTTTAAAGGACTGGTTGAAAATAACAGTTAACCAAGGTGAAATTATTGGGCCTGACATTTTGAGGATTTTGGTGGATATACCATCCAATCCGGTGGCTTTTACATGTAGCTAATGAATTTAAAATACTTAAAACTTCAGACGAGCAGGTGTTCTCCAAAGTAAATTCAATGTTGGATGGGGTGATATATTTCTCAAATGGTATATTTGTATCAGTCGTTGAATTGCCTAGTTCTTCGCCTATATTTGCAAAATACTGGTTTATGTAATTTGCGACTTGATATGGATCGTTTAATTCGTTGTGACCAGTAGCTAGGTTTTTTATTGTGGTTGATTGATTTGTTTTACACAATAATAAATTATTTAGCGTTTTCCAGGTTTTCTTAATATCTCCTTTGCAAGAATTAAATTTGTTGTCAAAATATGCAGATTTGGCTGATTTTATGGCAATGTTTACATTATTTTTAATTTGTTTGTAGCTTCTCCAATCATCGGGTAAGGAAGTTATACTAGCTTTCCTTTTCAACGCATCTCTCTTAAACATAAGCTCCTTTAGGTTTTTATTTAACCATGGAGCACATGCTTATTTAACATGCTTTGATTTTATGGGTGCGTGAAAGTCATAAACAGTCAAAAACATAGACTTCCAAGTTGTCCACATGCTATTGGGATCATCAAAATTAAAAATATTGTTCCAAGGATCTCTTTCCAGTTCCACTAGGAACAAATTTAAGTTAAATTTTTTGAGACATCTGTACTTGATGGTCTTTCCCCGTTTTGATGTTTTAAAACTTGGGAATTTATGAACACAATAAATTAAACTATGATTGCTAATACTGATATGTAACACTCCACTAGAATTAATCATGTGAGTAGTATTACAATAAATGTGGCCAATCAATGTTTTGCTACTCTGGGTTATTCAAGTAGCCTCATTGATAAGTGATTTGGAGGCCTATACCAAGTTGTAATAAGGAAAGGTTTGGTAAATGGTTTCCTTATTTCTAATGTTAGGATTTCTAATTCTTTGGTTAAGAGATCATCTCTTACTATATAGTATACTGTTACAGACATAAAAACAAACCCCGCCATCAAATCTATTTCGGTCGAGACGGACTATGTTGTATCCGTCAATATCAACTGTACCACTTTGTATCGAATCATCAAGCCTTGTCTCATTCAGGGCAAGAATCTCAAACTCTCGGTCAAACAAAAGTAGACGAATTTCGTCTAATTGTTTCGGTAAACTGGTAACGTTAAGACATGCAATTTTGCTACCTTTTTCTTTGACATTATGAGCATTAGACTTAACATTTGACTTAGTCTTAGATCTAGAATTATTAATTTTATGCGCTTCAGTACTTTGGGTATGAATATTGTGAGCATTTTGTTTACTACATATAGTCCTAACATTAATTATATTTGGTTCCGAGCTAATATGGACATTAGATTGACTAGGTACTGTAGTGATTCTAACCTCAGGTATAATATCACTATAATTAATACTAGCACACTCGAGATTCACCTGTGGTCTTGATTTTGAACGAAGTTCTGTACCATGGCTGTCAGCAATGAATTCTGTTGCTGAAAATTTCCACTCTTTGCCTTTGATGAACTCCTATCGCCGCTCCTTCTTGTATTCAGGTTTATTTTCTTCAGAAAATTTTATGCTAAGTATGCACTTCCCTTTTGTTTAGATGCAACTTGCTTGAGTTAAGACAAGAATCATCGATGCGCTCATTATCAATAAATTTCCATTTCTTTTCATAGCAAATTTGCTTGAGCCATTTATTAGCCTCTGTAATTTTCAGGTTTGCTTTGACATCTTTCCGATGTATTATACCAGAGACGATTACACGAGGCGCTTGCGTCAACTATTGGATTTTCTCTGTTTCGGTTGCGAGCTTCGATGCCATGTCTGTTGGTGAATCATTTGATGTAACGTTATTAGTGCCCATGTGAAAAATAACATATTTTTTGCATTTTAATTCACAATTATTAAGCATAGATGACATATCTTCAAGTTTTCCCCCAGGACGACTTTTCTTAATAATACTACCATCAGCCGACATCAATTTCGGATCAATGTCTTTAATCATTGAGTCACCAATGATAAGAGTTTTAACTTCTTTTGGTTTCTTTTGACTTTGAAATTTAGTCCACTGCCCTTCAGAACAAACACAGCAAATCTTTTTATTGTCAAGATATTGATTATTGCAATGATTGCATATTGCATGGTAAGGTCATGAAATATGGAAAGTAATCTGATGGCCATATATATCATTAAGGTTACAGAACACCTTTGAGTGTTAATTTTGCCTAAAATGTTTTTATTTGTTTCCATGAAAGCATTAGACTAGTTCTACTATCTGACCAAGTTTGAACAAAAAATGTTGAAAAATCGCAGAGTTATTTAATAAAATACATTTCGCTTGCAGTAAGAAAAACATTGAAAATGTAATATTCAAATTCAATTTTCTCCCGAAGAATTTTACAGCAATTACTGATTTTGAAACGAGTTGTTCTCCTGCGGGTTTTAACGAATTTTTCTCAAATTTTCACAGGACATAGCTAAAGACGTCAGTTTCAAAATTGTGTTCGGCTTTGTTCTAATTTTGGATATTTTATTAATAAGGAGCAATTCACCCAAACAATTGAGAAATATATTGCAGTCGTCAAAGGAATCGCCATATCAGCGGAATGACGAAATAAACAACTTTCCGAACACAATCTTTAGAACAACTATTTTACTGTATAAAAATGATGTTTTCATAAATATAAAGTCTGTGTGGCATAGGATTTTACACGCCTGTCAAAAATGCATCCAAAAGCGCCAATATGCGATACGCGGTGGGCAGCAGTTTTCGTTGCAAAAGTATTCAAAACATGCAAGTTACATGAAGTATACAGCGCGAAACTTTAAAAATGGCGGGCGAACAGAGTGGAAAATTTAGGACTATTGATGTAGTTTTTACAAGAAGTTGTTTGCCATAATGCTGGAAATGATCGGAAAAACGATGGGGCAAGGAAGATAAGGGATGCCTTGTGTACAGTGGCCGTAGAATCGGAGCTGGACGCCGACTGCATGTCGTTCTGCCGATCTCTCAGTTGGCATATTAATAAAATGGCATGCTGCGGAAATTTTGGCTAGCTCTGCAATGCCCTGCATTGATTTGGCGTGAATCGAGATTATGGCTGTCAGCATAAGTCGTCGACTCAGCAGAAAGCGGATTATTGGACATCCATTTCATGGTGAAATATATCGAGATATGAAGATATTCCCTTAGAGCTATTTTCCATGCTGGGATCAGAGTTTGGTGAAAACCACTCCTGAGTATTGTGAGCCTTTTTGCTTCCTTGGGAAAAACAAAAATAATTATTTATAAACAGTAAGATTTCTCTTACTTTTATACAGCAATGCTCTAAAATCAATAAAATGTAAATACAGCAAGTAAAAAATACAAAACAATGGACACTCCGAAAACGGTTAACATTTTGATTCGACGTTTCGACTAGCTTGCAGTCATCATCAGGAATGACGCTACTACGAAATACAAAACTATATATACAAGATCAAATTAATGAAATATGATATGTGTTAGTTAAAAATTATGAGTTCCTTAGAGGCTTTACATCCGTGGTTAAGTTCCGGTCTCTGGCGATGAATATATAGAGATTCTTTAAAATTATTCTATTTGTGGTTAATGTGTTAGAACATTTTACAGTATTATTAGCTCATTGTTACTGGAGCAACCCTCATGCTGAGTCAAGGGCTTTTGTCAAACTTGCTATTACCTTATAGTTACCTCCCAAAGCTCCTGGCCATGGAAGCCCACTTTGAGTACATTACAGTATATGCAATTTAATGCAAAGACAAAAATTATCATGTATAAGCAGGAATAACGAACTAAAATAATATACTTCTATATTCCTAGCAGCAACACAGCAATCACAACAAGAAGCAGGCATGAAGAATGAGAAGTCCTGTTGGAACTTGGAAATTTAGAAAACAAGAATTTTGATAAGGAGAAAATGAGAGAAGTGGAAAATCATCCAGATAATATCGTTCTAAATTGGTCAACTCTAGAAAGCATAACATCAAGAACACTCAGGGTGAAATACCAAAGACTGTGTGGGGGTCAAATTGCAAAAGAATGGTTAAAATCTGTTGGTGTTGACATCAGTTGATTCAAGCGCTAACATGATGGGAATGATGAGAGAGTGCGAAGATTGAAACTCAGGGGACATGGTGGAGAAATTACTGTTGTAGTGCCACAAACGATGGAAAGTGTGGACTGATGAAAATCTGACGGAGAATAGTCTGGCAAAATCATTGAAAGCTATCAATGAACACGTAGAAGGAGAAAATGAGAAAGAAATGGGAGCTAGGCTGAGAGATATTGCAAGAACATGTACAAGGCATCTGAAGATGCGGCATGATCTTTCAACAATTGCCAATCAATTGAGCCATGTTTACACTACAAGCCTACCATTGGACTATATTTTTGTAGTGTAAATGCACTTCGGCCTAGCCTAGGCCAGGAAATTTGGAACACCTGTTCTGAT